TCTTCTACATAATGAGAATGATTATGTGTTGTCCCTATTGCCATGTAATGTTTTTTAAATTCTAATAAAACTATTGCCCTGATTGACTTTTGGCCTTGGTTTACCTGTGAACACACCAAGCCCATCTGTACAGATTCAGACACAAAATCTTTGTGCACATAAACTAGCTATTAATAATAATAATAATCCTTGCATTTGATATAGCGCTTTTCACGTCGGGAGGACGTCCCAAAGCGCTTCACAGAACACACTGTAAAGTGAATTGACTGTATATTTGTGGGCGAACGCGGCAGCCAATTGCGCACAGCAATGTCCCACAAAAGGTCGTAGATTGAAAAATGACCAATTTATTATTTTTTTTGTTTTGGAGGGATTATTATTAGGTGTGTGGAGTAAGGAAACTTGCCCAAGGTTTCGCCCTGCCTGGAATTGAACTCAGGTCTCTCACTTGCAAAGCGAGTGCTCTAACCACTGAGCTACAGGACTCCACAAATCTCCAGGAATATCCACCTGGAGATTCTCTGTTTGATACAACCCTAACTTACTGTATGAAACGTTAATGAAAGGATGGTCTCCGAGGGTCTACGGATTTTAATCTTTCGGACCTGTGACACAGTATTTAAGTGACAAATAATAACATTCAGCTTCCGTGCAAACAGATTAGGAAATCATATTTTTATCTAAGTATAATTTGCAATTATATGTTACATGCTTTTAATAAATATCAGAGTTTACTATTATAAATCTCAATTCTCAGTTGGATCTGTAGGTGATTGAATACTGTACGAAGTATAAGCAGAGTTTGGGAGTGGGGAGAGAAGGTTTACCTCTTACAATGTTCCCTTACATATGCAATTAAAATTAAATTCAAAAGATGACTTAATGGCCATGCAACTTTTTGACTTTTGCTTTCCGCAGTCTATAGAAGTCAAGTATTGACTTCCGCGGATCAGAATTCTGCAGATCATATTTCTGTGGTGTTTATTCCTTTCCTCTTCTGTTGCTGAGGCAAATTCGATTGTTCTCTAAAGTGCCATATATCAGCTTTCGTTTATTTCGTTTAGGCTCGGATAGGGATACTTATTATTCCTTGAGTCAAGTGAAGACACATACTGGGGTACACAAACATGAAGGATCATTGGTTAGAACTGTTGCCTTGTTGACTTATGGATCACAAACTCCTAGTTACACGTGCACATGTTACCCCTGTGCTAAACAGCATTAGGGATAAGGTTAACAAAAAATAAACATTTTGACTTACACACTATGAATCACATCGGGTTGTTGGTATTGTACAGCAGAACAGAATGGTAACAAAAAATATTATTCATGCCATTTTAAAAATAAATTATAAATGACTCCCATGAAATTGCCAATGATTCGTTGACCATATACTAATAATAGTGAAATGAAATATATTTTTTAGGTCTCAATATTTTATAACATGATTTTTAAAAAATATTGTTAATGTTAACTTCACTTTCTTATGAACTCTAAAATTCCTGGTTGACTGTGTTCTACGTGGATTATTACTCTTTGAAGTTAATATTATATAGGGATTTATTCCAACGTAGCATTGTAGAACTTGGCAAATTCGTAAATACAAACTAAGTTTTGAAGTCAGTTTCGCTAAGTTATTTTAAAAACTGTTAAAATCTCGGTTTCGAAGTTAAAACGGAATCCAACTAGTTGTCACATTTTGGAAGATCTAAAAGGTTACATAAATAGATTAAAGCTAGAGTAAACTAGTTGGAACTTTTCCTCAATAGTATAACTCACTGCTTTAGAGTCCATATACATATAACTGGAGGTCATAACAACAATGACAGGGAACAGTGAGAGTGACAATACCAGTGAGAGATATTATAATTGCTCGGTTACCTCATTCTTGCGAGTGAAAAATGTATAGAATTTGCTTTGTCTTATGACATGTTTAAAGTATTTACACTGTGAAAGTGAGTGATGCCCCACATTTAGTCTGACTATCTGGAATGTATTGAAAGTTTACAAACCATGAGTTCATAACACAAACTGTAATATTTATATATTTAACTCCTCATTATATGACAAATGAACAACGCAACCTTTCAAATAATATTTGAAGTTTATAGCGTTTAAACAGTCAGTAATTTAAATTGCCTCTGGACTTTTGCATTACGTTTTTTTGACAAAAACATTCTAGTATAATTTAAAATCTGCAGCACAGTAACTTCGAAATCTGCAACTCCCGAACGCTGTGATTATAACATGTCAAATAACTGTCTCTGAGTATAGAGGCTATTTTCGAAGTATTCCTGCCTTTACTTTGTTAGTGAAAACTTGAGCGGAGTCTCTGTTGTGTGAAAGAATCAACATATATGGCGAATTCAAACGCGAGAGATTTAGAGTCTGTGTCCAGTGCCAATGACTTTCAGGAGCATCAAAACTCCTGCCTTCGACTCCTTGGTATATTGACTCAATGACTTTAAAATTGACTGGTCTTGATATATAAGACAGCTGTTGACTGCTATACAAGTGTCATGTTCATCATCAACCACGAATATTCCAATTGGTTCTGTCTCCATCCCAATGCGTTCAACATTTACGTTTGAAATGATTCAGGAACGTTTGATTCGTGGGAAAGGTTTGGGAGAAATCCTACAGCAACTGCAAGATTGTCCCCATGTAACCATGGGAACGTATGATTTCAAAAGCATGATATGAGCTAAACAGATGGTCTGTGCCAAAGAATCGGAGAATTTTACCAACTTAAATGTTGGCTATCGTAAATCGTCAGTATAATTTTGAATTATTAATACAAAAATATGATGGGGTTTTCTCCTGAATAATAACGGAATAGGGTTCTGATTCATTGCAGTCTGCTTAATCAGAGTTCGTTGTCTATTGCAATCGATTGTTTCAAATAGATAAAATAAAACATTTAAGTAACTTTAGCCTGTTTTCTGTCCCTGGCCAGCACTGAAACACGTGCAAAAAAAAAGCTTTAATAACAATATTAAATATTATATTAATATAATTAATATTAAATATTATATAATATTAAATATTATATTAATATAATTAGAATAACAATGAATCTAGCTCGACAGCTTCCTGAGAGTTACCAAGTGACACTGAACCTAATGTTAACACTAAACGAAATGTAATCTTTATTTGTTCGAACTCGAAATTTACCGAAACTCGCCATAAACCTCGCAGCTTCGGTAGAAAGTTGGAATTTATAATAATAATAATCATCATCATCCTTGCATTCGACACAACGCCTTATCACGTCTCCCAGACACCTCAAAGCGCCTCACAGAACATATACTGCAAAGTGAATTGACCGGATATTTTGTGGGCGAAAGCCCAAAGTATTTTGCAAAGGTAAAGGTGCCTTTTTGTGCAAAGGTAACTTCAAACGCTTGTGAGCGGATTGAGTCACATAGTTGCATTCGATCGATTTGGGAAGGGATTCGTGTGTCCTACGATGGGCCGATTCAACCACCTGTGATTGTGTCCTGATGTGGTTTGCATTGGGGCTCTCAGCACTTGGTCTCAGAGCCGGCGCTGGGCTGTGCCATCTGCTGATCTCTAGGTGGCAGCAGACCCACTGCGACCTGAGAGCTGTCCAGGGTCCTGACAGCCCAAGTGCTGAACCAAACACCAATCTCATCCAATACTTAACGGGGAGGGTGGGAGTGGGGGGGGGGGGGGGCAGGATAATGAACAAACAAATAAATAATCATATAAATGAATCGATCAGTAACTGAGTAAATACATAAATAGTGAAGTTATATGAACGGTTTCAATCGTGTCGCCTAATAATAATAATAATAATAATAACCTATTGGTCATTGTTTGCACCTTCACTGCTAAGCTACGTGTTTAACTCCTCTCTGCCAACACACAGAATGAAGCCAATTCCATGTGTATTACAGTCTATGGAGATTTCTCGTTGCGTTTGTACCACAAGTGGAGAGGCACATCACCTCACAGCCATGATCCTACGACTGTGAAAAATACGTTTCCCTGCAAACTGGGCACTTATACTTAAGGATCCAAGAACGTTACAGAGTTACTTGTGGCATTCAAGTCGCCTGACTGGTGTTGTCTGCTCAGCATTTCTCCAGAGGCGTTACCAAAACCAGGAGCGTGGGAAAAACCTGAGGCTGTCAGTCAACTTCTGCGATACACCGAAACCCTGGGTCCTCTACACAGTTTGAGGACGTATTTTCTTCGGTGAAACCCATTTCCCCAAGAAGATAAAGCGTTCAATTGAAAATTGAAGTTCAACTAATATCTATTAAATACCATTCCTCATACAGTCCGGACAGATTGCCAGTGTGAAACATTTAAATGCACGAATCATATTTGCAATACATTTTCACCTGCGGCAGATTATAGAGCAGCGCTAAGAAGCAAACACCTGCGTACAGTAGGACGAGAGGACATTTGACGTTACCTCTGCGAGATGCCGAAGCACATTTTCCTTCTCCCTCAGTGTCATTACGTTGGCAAAGGTACGCACAGCAAAGCGCTGAGAGCTGCGTGAGATCATGACCAGCCACGTCTGCTTCATTGATCCAGGAGTCAGACCTGGTCCCGGCACAGGGGGGGGGGGGGGGGACTAACCCACTCCACTTGTCACCGACCAGGACGGTGTCGCTCAAGGCAGAAGAGACCAAAGTCGACGAGGATCGGAGAGCCAGCAGGACCCGAGCTGTCCCGACTTTTCGATCACACCGGGAGTTGGGAGCATCAGTATGGAGAGGCACACTCCAGCCACTTATTAACCATCTGACGTATCCTGAGTATATATACACTGCATATCCATCCACTCCGCCACCACTTCTCTGAAGGAAAACGACAGACATATCGCACTGACACCATGTGTGCCCGGGGTTTTGTGGGTTTATCTTCCTGTACGTGATGTCGCTTCGCTCGGGAACCTGAGCCTCGAGGACTGAATCCCTGAGGTCTCCGCTCTGCTCTCCTCTCCTCTCCTCTCCTCTCTCGGAATGGAAGTGCTCAACACCACCACTCTTTCCTACGTGGCTCTGATCGAGGAAAGCCAAGCGAACTCCACGGAGGCGACGCTGACTTACCAGTTGACAACTTCTCTGTTTATCGGGACTTTGATTCTCTGCTCCATCATCGGCAACGCCTGTGTGATCGCTGCTATAGCGCGGGAGCGCTCTCTCCAAAACGTGGCCAACTATCTCATCGGGTCACTGGCGGTCACGGACCTGATGGTCTCGGTGCTGGTGCTCCCAATGGCTGCTTTGTACCAGGTTCTCAACAAGTGGACCCTCGGGCAGGTAACCTGTGACATATTTATCTCTTTAGATGTGTTGTGTTGTACATCTTCCATCCTACACCTGTGCGCCATCGCCCTGGATCGATACTGGGCGATTACAGATCCCATCGACTATGTGAACAAGAGGACTCCCAGACGGGCCGCTGTGCTGATCAGTCTGACCTGGTTAGTTGGGTTTTTGATTTCGATCCCACCCATGTTAGGCTGGAGAACACCCGAAGACAGAGCCAATCCCAACGCGTGTTTAATTAGCCAAGATCCAGGCTACACCATTTACTCCACCTTCGGCGCCTTTTACATCCCCCTGGTCTTGATGCTGGTGCTGTACGGGAGGATATTCCGAGCCGCCAGATTCCGCATCCGCAAGACAGTGAAAAAGTCCGAGAAGAAAAAAATAGCGGACACGCGTTTGACGGTGTCCCCGGCTCTGCCCGAAAAGAAAAGCAACGGGGAGACGAGCAAGAACTGGAAGAGGAGTGTGGAGCCCAAACCTGCTTCAGTCAACGGGGCCATCCGCCATGGAGAAGAAGGATCCTCGTTGGAGGTCATCGAGGTCCACCACAACTCCAAAAGCCATCTGCATCTGCCCATTGACGACAACGCTCAGTCCACCCCCTGCTTTGAGGCCAGGAACGATAGGAACATTGAAGCCAAGAGGAAAGTGGCCCTGGCCCGGGAGAGGAAGACTGTCAAAACTTTGGGGATCATCATGGGCACCTTCATACTCTGCTGGTTACCCTTCTTCATCGTGGCTCTGGTTTTACCATTCTGTGAAGAGTGTGACCTGCCAATCTGGGTCCAGGCTGTCATCAACTGGTTAGGCTATTCCAACTCCCTCCTCAACCCCATCATATACGCTTACTTCAACAAGGATTTCCAAAGTGCTTTCAAAAAGATTATCAAATGCAAGTTCTGAAAGGGATGATTTATTATGGATATCGCGTCAACGATCGTGATCGATTACCGCAATAGATTTGCTCAGCAAATGTATCCAATTCATCGTACAACCCCGAAGCTTTTTTATTATTTCCATCTATAATATTTATATCCATGTATTATATTTGCGATTGAGTTTATTTTTCATCGTGCACTGGTTTGCTAGTCGGGTATTTATGACGGCGACCTTTACATTCATTTAGGGAAGGAAAAGTAAACCCACGTTTCGATAATGGTTTTGCCCATAAATATCCTTGAATGTAATTTTTTTAAAAAATCTGCCAAATGTAAATGCAAATGCAAATGCAGCGCTCGTTCGATTAAATTCGACGCTTTTATTTTTGCAGGGATTTCTCTCGTCGGCTTCACTGTAGTTCATTGCTTTCGGTGGTTTGTCCATTACATGTGTGTTGTTTCACAGCCCAGTTGGTTTATGTTGTGCATTGGGTTTATCCAGTCGTACTCAACATTCGTAATTTTTAAAGTTGCAGATTTCCTGATCAATTAACTGAGCTCCTATCACTTCAGACCGAATAAAACTTATCTAATGAAGATATAACGTGTGCATTTATTGAACCGACATACGATAGATATGGAGCTGTAAGGTAGAGTAGAGTAGAGCTTCGGTTTATTTAACCTACTACTGGCCAACCTTGACCCTATCAGGATTGTACGAATCTATTTTTTTTCACCGAAGTATTAGACGTTTTGTGTTGAAGATGATTTTGTTTTTATTTAATCATTGTGGGAGACGTCTATAGTTCAGAATTGTGCATGCAAGTCTGAAATCTTTTGAACTGGAACATAAGCCCTGTCTTTATGCCCACAGTCTTTTATATACAGCGGAATCTCTACATTAAAATGGCTTTGATGTACACTAATTTGTGGGTGAAAATGCAGCGTTTCAGTACAGAATCGATGTGATAATCATCACACCGGAGCCGACGTGATAATTATCATATCAATTCTGTTCTGGAACACTGCACTTTTCACCCCCTTATAAACTGTCAAACATAACATGTCGACTTGAATCAGTTTGTTTAGTGGATTCGGATTGTTTTATTGATAAACAATTTACATTGCTCGGAATGGACTCACCAGCTATCATAAATGCAATCCCTACTGTCACAAATTCAAGGACTGTATTTCCGAGCAATTTCGCATTTGGGAGTAAAATTTCGCACATGTTTTTTTTCCCCCAAAATCATGTGAAGGTTCTGCTATGTCGGTATTCCGGGGTCATTGCAATTCCAGCTTATGTTTCACCTCTCTCTCCAGCAGCAGACAGGTCATTCTTAGCTCAAAGCAATTATTGTGACTTGGTTCGAGTGCAATAGTTTTGACATATTCCTTTCCCACACTTACATATCGCAGTTTATTCTTTCGTCACATACTTTCGGTCTTGGTAACCTCATTTTCGTCCTGAAATCAAATCTTTTTTTTTAATTTCCTCCCCACTCCACACACACACACACACGTTGCATCTCTTGAGGCTACGCATCAGTCATAGCAGCAGAGTAGTGAGGCAGTCAATATTAGACTGATATGGAGAGCGCCTGGGGTATTTCCTCTGGTGACATTCCCAATCTCCCATGCATAACTCCCTCCAACAATTCGCTGCTCAAAGGTGTATCTTTTTTTTATCAATTAGACCAAGCGAAGCCTGTGTGACCGATTTGCCAAATATCTCGTGGGCTCACTGTCCTGATGCCAACTTCCCTGCGGTTTGCCATTTAAACGTCTTATCGCTGAGTTTTTACCACTGGGCTCCTGCGGTGTTCCACCTCAGCTCAACTCAATGTTTAGGAGCCGTATCACTTTTCTTCTGGGTTAAATATAGCTTGAACCTTAGCTGTCACCTCCACCCAGATATCTTTACACCACGGAGTTGCACTGAAATCAAAACTATTGATTTCTCACCCATCTTTGTCTTATTTGCCTTGTTAGCTTTGCACAATGTATTCCCATTCCCGACCTTCCTAAATTGTATATGACGTTGTAAGATTTGTTATTTTTCCTCTTGAAGTCTTTGTGTTCTTGAGCCTGATCCAATTTGCCTTTCTATTTATAAAAGGGATTCTCCAGCTCAGCCTTTCCAGTTACGATAAAGGGCTGCAGCTGACATATTAATGTATGTTTTTATTTCATGCTTTATTCAGTTGACAGACTCGTCCGATAGTTGAACCGATTGAAATGCTGTAGACACAAATGCATTCACAACTGGTGACTTCTGATTTTGGTCACTGATCTTCCCTAAACTCTGGAGAAGTTCTGGATAGACCAGCAAAGCTTTGAAACCAATTGTTCGTCCAGCTAATAATTTTGATTTTATTTCAGAATTCTAGCATTCAGTTTTATTTTACAAATGTAATATATATGAATGCATTATATGAATGATCTGCAATATGTATGAGCTCTGAAACCTACTAAAGCAAGGATCCAGCCAAAGCCTCACTTTTGTACTTTATAACCTATCCAATACTATTTCTGTCAGCCTGAGCAATTGGTGGCAATTTCGTCAAAAAGGTTTTTGGATTCCAGCTCCATGTTGAGATTTGAGCTCACAGTCTAGGGTTGCACTTGGGAAGCACTGCATTGACAGAGGTGCCCTTCTTTGGATGACATATGAAGCCAAGGTACCGGTCAGTGCTGGTGCCCCTGGTTCTTCAGGCGAATGTTAAAGATTGCCTGACACCGTTGGAAAAGCAAAGTGAGGGAGTTTCTCCCCTGTGTCCTCGTCAAAATATCCAGAAAAAACTGATCGGTCAAATTGCAAGTGGGACCTTGTGCAACCTTACTGCCGCTTTTGCCGACAAAATAAAAAAATCACCTCCAGTCTTGACATTTATCACTTTAAAGCGGTTTGAGACATTTCATCGTGATGAGGGTTTAGCTGAGGAGCAGGTTTTCTTCCCTATATATACCTGTTTAGCAAATAATCTTCGGGATTTCAGTTTTATTCCGACAATTTTAAACCCAAGATGTAAGCGTTGTTTAACGTGTTATCAACCACTCGTTGTAAACAGACAAGCTTTGACTGTAAACTGCTGTCGGTCTTCATTGGAAGCGGTGATATCAATAAATGGCACTGTTTGGTTGCATGCAAACTGTGAACATGTTATGTGGCGGTGATCACTTATCCCGAAGAGACATCCCGAGTAATATATGAAAGCACTTTGGTGACCCACTGCAGGACTCATTTCAATAGATTGGGATGAGACCCATTAGTTCCCTGCATGTGTGGGAGGCAGATCATGAATTTTCCAGTTAACAAAACTGTAGGGAAATCACCAAAGCATTGTCTAATAAAGTGAATTAAAAAANGGAAAGAAGTTGCAATGGAGTGTCGGTCTCGTGTCGTTTTATGTGGATGAAAAGCGATTGGAAAGAGAAGTGCAATTTGACCTATGTATGTTCTATTTATTTTACAGATTAGATCCAGATTTCTCCAACTACATACATATGGGTGAAGGGTGGGAGGTGTTTTTTTTTCAAATACGTCTCACATTGGCCAATGGCACAGTCTCACAGTATGACCAATGTGTTATAGAAATCACAGAGATTTTTTTTNGCGCTCAGTGTCCAATTTTGGCGTCTCCTTGTTACAATAAGGATAATGTTTTCTTCAAGAAACTTTCAGGTAAAATGCTCATTTAGAACCGAAGACAATTCCTGGAGGGCAGAAGGTTTGCTCCTGTCTGACAAACATTGGTGCTGCTCACAGACAGCTTCAAAAAGAACACATAACTGCAAGTAAAGAGTCGTAAAAGTGGATTATTTTCCTCTCTAATTTGGCGTTTGGTGTCCATTTGCAGGAGCATTTACAACAACATCAACTTGCATTTAAGTCTATGATCACGCATACCAGCTGTGAATTACGTTTTGAAAGCGAAGTGGGTTTCAAAAAAGAAACTCTTCTCAAGCACCATGAGCAACATTGATATCTTGAAACGTTCTTCCAGTTTAAATTAGAGAGGCTTATTTGAAGTTTTCTTCAAGCTCAACATTGCTACATTAGCTATGGGTGTGTGGGTTCACAATAATAATTTCATAAGAATTATTTTAGGAATATATTTCTCAAATTAGAAGACACTCTGGTTACTAATCATAACATATAACGTTGCTTAATAGTACAGTACTGGAACAGTTTTAATCGCTAGTCACATGAACGTTTAAGACCAGTGAGAAATTCTTTCAAATGTACACTGTAACATTACAGATGGTTTTCAATTATCCGATCTATAACTGGAATTTCGACTTATTGAATCAGATGATCAGTTTTATATATCGACTTTTAGGTTATAGTGTTACACGGTAAAGCAATTATTAGCTAGATACAGTAATAATAATGAAGTACAGCATACCTAGTTTTGCAACCACACAAAATACATTATGACAGAATATCCTAAGGAATAAAGCGTGTTAAACTTAAAACTTCAAGGTTTCTTATTGAATGGGATACATTTGGAGATTTCAAGTTTCCCAACACAACTCAAATATCCCACAGCCACACAAACTAACTCTGCTGTAGTATATATTCAATAAAGTCAAAGTAAATCACAGACACACCTATAGCTCTCCCCCTATAGAAAATTAAATACATTTTAGTTATCCAGTACACCTTTAAAACAATCATGAATATATTTGCGAACACTTATTCTGGATCGTAAACGAAAAGCAACAAGATTCAAAAGTCTATTAGATTATTTTCACAAGGTTTTGGGGCAGACTGTGTAGCATTGCTAATTATATTAGATCCACTAATGTTATTCACATTCTCTAAAATAATATGAATTTAATGTTAAGTTGGATCTGAGCAAGTAAAGAACTGGTGAATACGAAAGAATATTAATGTTAGATAATGCATTTCTTCAGCAATGTGGGTACTAATCATTCAGTAATGAGGGTATGTAATAGAGATTAATGTTGCTTTCTGAGTAAGACAGATAAGGTCCCTGGTGTAAGTTCCATGGAATCGGATCCGATACTGTAAAGTGGTCTCAAACAGGTTGTAATTTAAAAATAAACTTGTTTTTTTTCAATTGAGAAGTGAGTGGACCGATTGGTGGTC